CCGCCGGCCCACAATTGACCATTTTTAAGTGAACAATTCAGTGGCATTTAGTGCCTTTACAATGTGCTAGCTACCACCACCTGTAGATCCAGTTCCAAAACATCATCACTCCAAAATAAAAGCCTGTACCTATTAAAGAGTTACTCTCCATTTTCCTTTCCCTCCTGCCCCTGGCAGCCACCAATCTGCTTTCTGTTTCTATAGTTACCTATTCTGAATATTTCATATAAATAGAACCATATGTGACCTTTTGTGTCTGGCTTCTTTCACTAAGCATGTTTTTGAGTTTTCCTCCACACTAGCATTTACCAGTACTTCCTTCCTTTTTTATGGCTGAATAATAATCCATTATATGTGCCACAGTTTATCCAATCATCCATTGATGAACATTCAGATGTTTCTATTTTTTGGCTATTGTGCATAGTGCTGCTACGAACATTCATGTGCAAGTATTTGAGTCCCTGTCTTCAATTCTGTTGGATAGATACCTAGGAGTGGAATTGCTGGGCCATATGGTAACTATGTTTACTTTCTGAGGAACTGCCAAATTTTTCCTGAGCTGCCGCACCACTTTACACTCCTCCCAGTGATGTATGAGGGTTCCAATTTCTCTATGCCCTGGCCAACGTTTGTTACTTGTTTTTGTTTTAATTATACCCATCCTTATTGGTGTGAAGAGGTATCTCATTGTGGTTTTGACTTGCAACTCTTTAATGATTAATGATGTTGAGAATCGTTCATGGGTCTGTTGGTTATTTGTATGTCTTGGAGAAATACCTGTTCAAGTCCTTTGCTCATTTTTTAATGCTGTTTTTTGTTGTTGTTGAGTTTTAGGAGTTCCTTACATAATTTTGGATACTAGACCCTTATCAGGTAATATGATTTGCAATTATTTCTCCCATTCTCTTAAGTTTTCTTTTCACTTTCTTGATAATGTCCTCATTTTTTCACTTCATTTCCTTAAGTAGTATGTACATTTGGTAAAAACTACAAATGCAGAAGCAGTTTCTTGTGTATCCTTTTAGTGACAATCTGTGCATGTACATGCAAATCAATGTCTATTCTCTCCTCTCCCCTTTTTACATAAATGGTAGTTTTTCACTGAATGTGTCTTGACAGTTCTATTTCAGTATATGTACATCTGCCTCAGTCTTGCTAACTGGTGTGCAGTATCCCATTATATAGATATCTCATAGTTTATTTAGTAAGCACCCTCTTTTGTGGACATTTAGGTTGTGACTTTTGACTGTTACAGATACACACAAGTTAGTATAAATACAAGCTAGTTTATCTTTAGGATAGATACCGGAAAGTGGAAATTGTTACTTATTAAGTATGGTTGTATTCATATTTGGAGGTTGCTTCCTCGGCATTAAGAATCTGCTAAATTAATAAAAATGTTATTAAGTATTTTTTATGTCAACTTTTATATATAGTCTTTTTTTTTTTTTTTTAGGAGTTAGAAGTAGCAGAACCAGCCTTGACACAAGGCTTTGTAGTAGGTAGGCCTTTCTTTTCACACCTCTTTCACAGGGTTTACCCTTCTAATCTTCCTCAGAGGCAATTGTTCTCAGCCAGGAAACAGTTTCTCAGCATGCCAGCTTTTCTAGTGTTAAATTTTAACACTTTGCTGGTTGTAGAAAGAAAAGCATAACATGACTTAAGAGTGGAAAGAAACTTCTGAGCTAACAAATACTGTTTTTAAAGTGACAAAAAAGAACTGAGGCCTGCCCTGCTTTCATGCAGTTCCTGTCAGTGTTAAGAGAAAGTCTCTTGTTTCCCAGAACAAGGTTCTCCATGCTCACAGCAATGTCTTGCCTCATTCTTGTTAAAGACCTTGAAAATGCTACTTCTGTCTAGGTCGAGGTTCTGGGGTAGCAGGAGAACTGTGACCACATCTCTGACACTAAATCACATGACTATCTCACCAACTATGATGTCAGGCCCTAGGTCAAGGGCCTCTTACCAATACTGGTACATTAAAAAGTGATTTTTTAAATTACTTTAAAATTTTATTTTCTTGATTTAAAAATTGATAAATGCTTCAATCTATCAACCACCATAAACTAAAAGCATAGAGAGTAAATGGATTTAATACTAGAGGTGAATCTTTTTTTTTTTTTAAAGATTTTATTTATTCATTTGAGAGAGAATGAGATAGAGCACGAGAGGGGGGAGGGTCAGAGGGAGAAGCAGACTCCCCGCCGAGCAGGGAGCCCGATGCAGGACTGGATCCCTGGACTCCAGGATCACGACCTGAGCCGAAGGCAGTCGCTTAACCAACTGAGCCACCCAGGTGCCCTAGAGGTGAATCTTTTATATAAGTTGATAATTTTGTTGAGAGTATGCTTTATTTTTTGATCTCTATGATTATTTATTTATCCCTACCTTGGGCAAAGGAAAATAAAGCACAGAAATTAGGCAATAAGTAAACATTGATTTACCCTTTTGAAAACATTTGCCCTTTATGAAGAGGGCACCTAACACTTGTCTTCTAGGAGCATAAATTGTATTTGGTAAGATAAAACATTCCAGACAATGTTGTTATTCTGCCCTGCATTTTCAATTTAGTGTTCAGTTAATTTAGATAAAGTGTTTTGATTAGAATTCTGATCCTTTTGTATGAAAGAATGTTCCACTAGAAACTAACCAAAGATAGTACCAGGGCTTTGGATAGATCTATCATGAATTAAAGCAAGATACCCTTAAGAAGTAATCCACTTAGAAGATGACAGTGTACTTTATAGTGGTGGTTCTAAGAACCTGATGTCATACATACATATATTTTAACATAGCATCCGGGCACCAGTATTTGGCTTTAGTTGTGGGAAAAGTCACTGATACCCACTGGATAACTGTCTTAAGAATTCTAAGAAACTGAGCAATGTGAGAATCAAGGCTTAGTGTACAGTAGGTTTAAACTAGGTTTCTATCCTTGAGGATAAAACAAGCACACTTAGAATGTACGCTTATGGGATCAATTAATCCCTTAACATAAGAGAAAAATGTCACAACTTTACTGATATTTATAGTGGATACTGTGGCATACCATCCAGACATACCCTTCTCTCCCCCACCCCCCCCCCCCCCCCCCCCCGCACCGCCCGTGAAGCAGTCACTGCCCCAGCTTCTGAGAATGTTGGTTGATGGCCCTCCGCTGAGATTCTCTCCAGGTATTTTCTTCACCCTAAGGTCATGCCCCTCGGGTCAAATGACTAATCTCTTCTGCTGGGATATAAAGTCCCTCCCCCTTGCCTTAATATGGCCCAACTGCAGGGCCATCCCAGCTCTCAGTTCTCAGAGGACTTTCCTGACTGCATCCCAGCCCAACTTCTCCCTCCTTCCCAGTCTTGCTACTTTTACTCCCTCAGAGAGGTAGATCTGAAAGCATTCCCATTTAAACTTTGCATCCTAACCTCCATCTCTATTTCCCCAGGGAACTTAGCCTTTGACAACATTTGAAACCCAAAGCCAAAACAAACAAACAAACTTGATTTTTCACTGAAACAACCAAACAATTCCTGTTGAATTTTTCTTGCCTTTCATTTTCTTCTATTAAGACAAAAAAAATTACCTTTTTCTGATTCTTATTTTTTATGAACATGTAAAACCACCAATTAATGCTTGCTTCACTTGGTAGAGCATCCAGACATCTTGAAGCTCCCCACCCCCACCCCATCCCACCTGTCTCCATCCACACCCACAATCATTTTAATATCTGTTCTCCAAAGTCAGGGATATTAAAGTAAAGGAGCTGAACTCCAATTAAAATACTTCTAATAACATACCTGAATGGGACTGGCCTTTCATTACAGTGTTGACGATACTGTACGGCTCCTTGTTTTCAAAGACCATCCATGTTCATGGCACGCTACTGGCATTTTATGGATTTGCTAAGCTATGGATATTTCTATTTCATGTGCATTTATCAGAATTTTGTTGAACCAGTACATCACAGAATGCTCAGAATTTTTAATTCGTAATTCATCTTTATTAAAGTAAAACCTCTAAAATATATGTAGAAAATAATGTATTGGGTATTTTCACATCCAAGATAGTCATTGAAGGTTAAGGGGAAGGAGGAGGTCTTATTTCTAATGTTTTACAAAGGAAATCTATCTCTAGTACCAAATACCATACTGAGATTATATAATATTCTTGTCATCTAAATTTGTTGAAGCTGTTAAGCTTGGACACTGTTAAAAAGTATGTGTGTGACTTCATAAAGTCTGTCAAAGATAATCATAAAACAATGAAGCAATCATTTAACCCAAAGACCAGTCCCCTCTAAATGGAATGTATCTTTTTCATTCAACCAATATTTGGCTCTGAGACACTGGCTACTGGGAGGCAGCCGGGGAAGAGGCACGATCGAGCAGTCCTGGCCCTCAAGAGGCTCCCCATCTTCTGGGGAATCCAGACATGGAGTAAGCACTTACAAGTACAGTATGGAAGGAGCTTCTCCTCCGGGGAGCTAACTTCCCATAAGGGGTGAGATTTAAAACCGTTTTCATTGTCACCCCATGCATTACAAAGAGGAGGGGAAAGCCTAGGCAAGAAATACAAGAACAACATTTGGGGAAAGGGAGTGCTAAGGGAAAACCTAAAGCTTTTGAAGAAGACAGCCTGTGCACAGCACATGGAGGGCCGAGATTCTAGGGGTTTTCAAAAAGCAGCTAAAATTTTATTTTTACTTAATCCTTTACTTATATACCTAAATCAGAAATTAAGCCAAAAAGCATGAAATGAGACCTCCGAGAACTCATGTCCTACTCTCAAATAGCCCAAACTATTTAAGACCTAAATGGGGCAGATAAAAAATATCTCAAGAGCTTTAACAGCTCAGGGGATATATACATCAAGCCTCTTGTTTTATATTCAGAAAAGTAGAAAACTGGGCTAAACATATATCTCAGAATTATGTAAAATAATTTGCATGGGTTAGCCTCACCAAAACAAGCTCACTGCTTTGACGATGCCCTTATACCGGCCCTTCATTATATCATCAGGGGAAATTGTGTATCAAGAGGGAGCAGTATGGGACACAGATACCTCATATGCTCCTTTAATGGTAAATTTTGCAGAGTCAAATAGGACTAAAAAGTCATAGCAATGGGACAGAGTGCTGCTCTGTTTTAAACATGCACTTTGTCCCTCGAGAACCTTTGGTTAGACTTTTTGTTCAGTAAGCCATTTCATTAAACGTGGTTCAATTCCCAGTCTAAGACATTCACTGACACATTCAATAACAACATTCTTATAAATTAAAGTCAGCTATAAGTCCTCCCTCTGGTTTCTCTTCTGTGCTTTGTAAATATGTACATCTTTTTCAGAATCATAGTGAACCTTACTCACAGTAAATTGCCTCTCCAGCATCGCTAAGAAGTTGTTGTCCCGTTCATAGCGAATTCGGCAAGCTAAAAGAATCACAGAGCGGTTGCTACTGAGATGTTCCAAAGTCTGAAGAAGATCTGCGAATGTTTCTTCTAAATATATGATATCAGCTCCAAGTATCAGGTCAAATTCTCCAGGTGAGTAACTCCCCAAATTTTGTCCCCAAGTCAGCTCCTTAACAACAGCTTTGGGTTGGATATGGGGAGGTAAGTTGGCTTGAACATTTGATTTAAGAAATTCTAATGCTACTTTCCGATCCGTGATAGTCACATGAGCACCTAGAATGTGGGACAGAGAGACAGTTATGTGCACATCAATACAACTGGTCGGGACGGGGGAGGTGGTCAAGTTAAACAGCAGGGTGAGTGTCTAGTATTCCACCGAGTAGCCAGAAGACCATGCCCTTCATGGATGGCTGTAGAAGAACAGAACAATGACCAGTAGCTCCTTCTGCACTGCTTACTGGCAAACATGAACCTTTGATGTGCCTCTCTGACACACCTGTTTGCTAAGCTCTCCCGATAAAATGCAGAGTCCCCAAATGACAAGCTGAAGCTTCTGAATTCTGCAGGTAGAGCTGGCCCACCCTCCACAGGTGTCTACCACTGTACTTCATTCATTAGGTCATGATCTTCAAGTCAGTAGACCTGAGGGTAAAATGGAATCCACAGAAGAAAAATCTAGGAGCAAATAATTATGAAGATGACAAGATACCCAAAACAGGGAAAGGCCACTTTCTGGAGTCTAAGCTTTAAAAGGAATCAAGGGAGGGCGCCTGGGTGGCTCAGTTGGTTAAACGACTAACTTCGGCTCAGGTTATGATCCAGGAGTCCCTGGATGCTCAGCAGGGAGTCTGCTTCTCCCTCTGACCTCCCCCCCTCTCATGCTCTCTATCTCATTCTCTTTCTCAAATAAATAAATAAAATCTTTAAAAAAAAAAGGAATCAAGGGAGAGATTAATTGGCTATTACAAAATCCCAGTCCACATCTGCTGTTAGGAAGCAGCATTATGTATTTTGTGTGTGTGTGTGTATAATTTTTGGAAAGTGGTAAACTTAGAATTACTAGATTGTATCAAAGTACTATACGTTAAAATGTGAGATCATGTTTTCTAAATGCTAAGTTTCTACATGCAGTGTATAAAATTAATGAGGCAATATTCCGTTAATATTTCTTGTGAGTTGCTTACCATGAACCAGTAAACTACCAGACTGAACTGGTAGTTTACCCTTAAGGTGAAAGAATCACGTAAGGTCGGCCCTGAAATACCTCATCTGCATTGCAGTAACAATATAATATGTGTAATCCTGTTTAGTTTGGGCCTTGTAAATTCTGAAATTTAACATTGTGATTCATTCTTCATAAAATGACCTCTCATTTGCACCCTTAGTTGGTAATCTTCATGGGTAATCCCCCACAGGACTCCAGACCAGCTATAGCAAGCACCATTTCAGTGGCAGCTCAGACTGATGTTTCTCATCTTGACCTGTAATGTTAGGACACTATGTAATTCTACCTGACATTTACAGCCCTGAGTGTGATACTGAAGAAAACGCTCAAGCTGTTAGATTTTACAAGAGTGCTCCTACCACTTTGACCGTTCAGTGCTAGACAGCATGCTGCCCAATGAGCAGAATTCGGAGATACTTCTCATCTCTCCTGATAATAAAAAAAATCACACACAGCCTTTTCCTGGTTTGACTCAGAACTTTATCACTGGCTTTCTTAACAATCTGCATTTGCAGGCAATCCTGGAGTGATCTAGTCTTTTGCATATCATCTCGGTGTTCATTTTAATACTTCTTACATGTAAACCTTTTCAATGCCTGTCTCAGGGGGTTTCTGAAGCTACTGCTAACCAGCTAGGGGTTCCGGGAGTTTTGCCAGGATCTTGATGTGAGTTGGCCACTCCCCTGTAACATCTGTCAATTGTACAAATAGCCAAGTAGCTACCATCAGCCAAGGGACAAAAGCCCCTACCCTCACAGACCTTACATTCAAGTGAGGAGCCAGGCAGTAAGAGGAGTTTTTAAAATGAGAATAGCCAGTATGTCATTTAGAGATAAGGACTAGGGGGATAATAAAGCAGGAAAGAGAGATGTGAAATGTCTGGAAGTAAGGGAGGTGGGGCTGACATTTCAGACTGAACAAAAAGGGAAGGTCTCACTGAGAAGGGGACTCAGATGAAGGTCTGGAGGAAGTGAAGGTATAACTGAGTGCGTCGCAGGGGGAACAGTCTTCCTGGCAGGCAGAAAAGCAAGTGCCAAGGCCTACAGGGGGGCAGGCAAGGAGGCTACCGTGGTTGGAATGAGTGAATGAGGAATGAAGTAGTAGAAGATGAGGTTGAGGAAGTAACAGGCAGGAGGCAGATGACCTATGCAGGCCTCACAGGTCATGTTTCAGAAAGGCTTTGGCTTTTTCTGAGATGGGAAGCCAGTGGAGAGTGCTGAGCAGAAGTGCCAATGATTTCAGGCTTTAACAGAATTTCTAGCAGTAGGTCAAGGAGTCGTGTGAAGAGGTCACCACAATGACCCAGCTGAAGGAGGCGGGTGGTTTGCCCCTTTGGTCTAACCACCCCAGGCCAGTTCCCAAATACACCTGCCCAGGAGCAGCCTCTCCTGCCTCTCCTGAGAAGCACTCCCCCTCACCAGCCACTCAGGTTTCATCACCCAGATGTCATCCCTGCATAGGGCAGCTCTGTCTGTGGTTTCCTTTTGGGTGTTTGTTTAGGGGGGCGCCATGGAAAAGGTCTTAGATTTCTTTGAATCTGTCAATTTCCTTTGAATCTTCCCCTTGTGATTTGGGGAACATACAGATCATTTGCCCTGTAGTTTCCCACAATCTGGATTTTGCTGATTGTACCATTTGTGTAGTTTAGCATGTTCCTGGCTCCTCTGTGCCTCCTGTAAATTTGAGTTTACTTTTTTGAGCAAGACTATTTCAGAGGTGGTAGCGTGTTCTTCATCAAGATGTATGTAGGACCTGGTAGGCTCTATTTTTGTGATGTGAGCAGGCACAAATACCCAGTGCCCAGATCTTTAATTCGCTAGATTCCTTTTGCATTTGTTTGTTGAGAAATTTCTATAAAGGGAAGTTTCTTTCAACTACTATTTGGTTACTCATTTTGTACAGAAACTGAATAGGATAAACTTTGCTCCTCCCTCCCCTTTTATACACCAGATTCCAAAGATCTGGTTTCTAAGCATCCTCGAAAGATGACTAATTGGGTTTATTTTGTTGCTGTTGTATTATGAACTCATGGATTAAACATATTTGATATATTTAAATCCAGTGCCATTATCAATATTGATGTTCAAACTGTCCTATCTTTTGCCAGTGGACTTTTGACACAACCCCATGTCATCCTTGTTAGCTTCCTTGCTATCTGGTATAATGAGATATACTGGGTCATCTTACCTATTTCCTGCTACAGAAAATACATTTCCATTACACATTTTCAGCCGCTTAAAATTTGATTTTTTTGGGCGCCTGGGTGGCTCAGTTGGTTGGGCGACTGCCTTCGGCTCAGGTCATGATCCTGGAGTCCCGGGATCGAGTCCCACA